CCACTTAGTTCTCTTGTGTTTTGACACTTTTTAAGCGACATTAGTTTATGCAAAATCCTGAGGAACCAGATCTCTTTCCAATAGATCACGAAATAGAAAGAACATTTAGAAATCATAGAAGAGTTCAACATCAAGCAAGGAGAATGGCCGATAACAAAAATCAACCACAACATCAGGTCCAGCTTCATGAGCAAATACCGCAGCCAAATCAACCGAGAGCTATCCAGAATAAAGCCCCTATCTTAGTTGGAGATTATGTCGATCCAATCCCTACACCAGTGCAACCAGCTGTAGTATATCCTCCCTTTGAATAACCTAATTTCCACCTTAGACCATATGTCATCAATTTGTTCCAAAATCACCAAGACATCAAGTTCTTTGGAAAAGCTACAGAGAATCCTCATGAACATATTTCGGCGTTTCTTATGCTATGTGAGGTAATCAGTTACGAAGGAATATCAACAGATGCATTTCGAATGAGATTATTCCCTCATACCTTAAAGGACACTGCAAGGGAATGCTTTCTTTGTTTACCACCTGGGAGCATTCAATCTTGGAACGATATGGTTCAAAAATTCACGATGAAATTTTTTCCACCTTCTCAAGTTCATCAAGTCAGGAATGAAGTCCATACTTTCAAGCAGAAAGAGCTCGAAAGCTATCTGGAGGCATGGGAAGGATTCAAGAATTTTTTTAGGAAATGCCCCAGCCTTGACATCCCTAAAAAGGCTCAACAATATTTATTCCACTACGGTCTAAAGCAAAAATTCAGAAATATGATAGATGTTTTTGCAAGAGGATCGGTGATGAAACTTGATGTGGATGAGGCATATGACTTGTATGAAAGAATAGCTAAGAATCAATCGATGTAGCCAACCGATAGGAAAACTCCAAGGAAGACAGCAGGACTGCATAATGTAGATACAGTAATAGCACTGGCTATATAAATGGAAGTTCTTACAATGAAAATGGCTAATCTATCTCAGTCAGTTAATATGGTACATCAATCTCTACCGGTTTGTGAAGGTTGTGGAGCTGATCATAATACTACGTACTGCCCTCTGGCGTTTACACATGTTAACCAGTCTGAGGAAGTAAGCTATGCGCAGAACCTTTAGAGACAGCAAAATAGTCCCTTCTCCAACACATTTAATTCGGGTTGGAGAAATTATCCAAACTTTTCGTGGTCGAGCAATCAAGACAAGGATAAGGAGGTAACAATCAGAATAAACCAACGGGGTTCCAACAACAGCAAGGAAAGAAACCATCTTTAGAAGATTTGCTGGCTCAATACATTACTAAAATTGAGACCAATTTTCAAAATCAACAGGCCTCAATCAAGAACTTGGAACAACAGGTGGGATAGATTGCAGCCGCATTATCAGGTAGAGCTCAAGGGACGTTACCTAGCAACACCGAGACAAACCCTAAGAAGCAGGTCAAAGCCATAACTATACGAAGTGGAGTCTAGCTACCAGAAATACATGTAAAGCAGCCAGCAACTATCACAGAAAAGACACCTACAATGGGTGAAGAGTAAGTTGATGAATTAGACAAAACAATAGAGGAAAATCGAATCGAGTCATTGGGTAGTCCACGAGTTAAGACAAGCACTCCTGTCAAAGCATATGTATCTCCAATCTCATTTCCACAGAGACTGCAAAAACACAAACTAGATAAGCAGATTCAGAAATTTTTTGATGTATTTAAGAAGTTGCACATTAACATACCGTTCGCTGAAGCCCTAGCTCAAATGCCCAGCTACGACAAGTTTATGAAAAAAGTCATTAAGGATGTGTGGATGTCTTTACCAAAAAAAAAAAAAGTTTATGAAAGACGTCTTATCAAACAAGAGGAAGCTAGAAGACAATGAAATGTCATGCTTACTGAGGAGTGCAGCGCAATTCTCCAACACAAATTACCACCGAAACTAAAAGACCCAGGGAGTTTTACTATTCCTTGTAATATTGGTAATTTGTATGTAGATAAGGCATTATGTGATTTAGGAGCTAGCATCAATTTAATGCCTTTATCTCTTTTCAGGAAACTAGGGTTGGGGAAAGCAAAGACGACTACAATTTCACTGTAGTTAGGCGACAGGTCGATCAAGCACCTGCGAGGTATTTGTGAAGATATTTTGGTCAAGGTAGATAAGTTTATCTTCCCAATGGACTTTATTATTCTGGATATGGAAGTAGATCGGGACGTTCCCCTCATATTGGGTCACCCATTTTTGGCTACGGGAAGGGCTCTGATAGATGTACAAAATGGTCAGTTGATATTGAGGTTAGATGAAGAGGAACTGACAATCAATGTATTTAGAGCCTTCAAATTTCAGACCGAACCAGATTTTTGCATGCAGATTGACATAATAAGGGAAGCAGTGTCAGAGACATTCAAACTTGATTACCCTCCAGGTCTGCTTGAGGCTTGCTTGGTGCATTATCAGGAATTGCCATCGGAGAAAGAGGAAGCAGAAGAGTGTGCACGTTATTTGGTAGCCATACCACCACTTTTCAAGCAGCCATGTTTGGAGCTCGGTGAAAGACCCACAAAGCTTTTACCATCTATACAATAAGCTCCAACTCTTGAACTTAAACAGTTGCCCATTCATCTGTGCTACGCGTATTTGGGGAAAAAGAATTTACTCCCAGTAATTATCTCGAACAATCTTACAGAATCAGAGGAAGATCAGCTGTTAAGAGTACTCAGGAGCACAAGACAGCATTAGGATGGACGATATCAGACATAAAAGGAATTGACCCTTCGCTTTGCATGCACAAGATATTGATGGAAGATGATTACAAAGCTTCAGTTGAGTATCAACGCAGATTAAACCCGAATATGTAGAAAGTGGTAAGAAAAGAAGTATTAAAGCTTTTGGATGCAGGGATAATCTATCCCATATCAGGCAGCCATTGGATCAGTCCAGTATAAGTAGTGACGAAAAAGGAGGAATCACGGTAGTCCCAAATGAAAATAACGAGCTCATCCTTACACGGACAGTCACTGGTTGAAGAGTTTGCATTGATTTTTGCAAACTCAACAATGCCACTAGGAAAGATCACTTTCCCCTCCCTTTCATCGACCAGTTGTTGGAGAGACTCGCTGGCCACGCCTACTACTGTTTCTTAGATGGTTATTCGGGGTACAATCAGATTTCTATAGCACCTGATGATCAAGAGAAGATAACCTTTACATGCCCTTATGGCACTTTTGCTTATAGGAGGATGTCCTTCGGCCTTTGCAATGCTCCAACCATCTTTCAGCACTGTATGATGTCGATTTGCTCAGACATGGTTGGACATATTATTGAGGTATTTATGAATGATTTCTCAGTGTTTGGAAAATCATTAAGGAGTGCCTTGAACACTTGGGAAAAGTGCTGCAGTTATGTGAAGACACAAACCTTGTATTAAATTGGGAAAAATGACATTTCATGGTTCAGGAAGGGATTGTGTTAGGGCGTTTGATTTCAGCATGGGGTATTGAGATTGATAGAGCTAAGATACAAGTCATTGAAAAACTACCACCACCAGTAACAGTTAAGGGAGTTAGAAGTTTCTTGGGTCACGCTGGGTTCTACCATCGTTTCATCAAAGATTTTTCCAAAATCTCTAAGCCATTATGCAATCTACTGGAAAAGGGGCCCCATTTCACTTTTCTGAGGAGTGTTTGACAACTTTCAACAGCTTAAAAGAAAAATTGGTTTTACTCCAGTATTGGCTTCCCCAGATTGGAATTATCCATTCGAACTTATGTGTGATGCCAGTGATCACGCAGTGGGGCGGTGTTGGGTCAACAAAAGGAGAAGAGTTCCCATGTTATTCACTATGCCAGTAAGACTTTGGATGAGGCTCAAATGAATTATGCGACTACAGAGAAAGAGCTTTTAGTAGTAGTGTTCGTCGTTGACAAATTTAGATCATACTTGATTGGGTCAAAAGTGATAGTTTATACGGATCATTCAACCTTAAAATATCTACTAAATAAGAAGGATGCAAAGCCGAGGCTTATTCGATGGATACTCCTATTGCAAGAGTGTGATTTGGAGATCAGAGATAAAAAGGGGAGTGAGAATGTTGTGGCAGATCACCTTTCTTGTCTCGAATCGCATGAGTCAAACCCTACAGTGGATATCAGTATAGTTTTTCCTGAATGCTTTTTCAGATTATCACTACACCATGGTATGCCAATTATGTCAATTATTTGGCCCGCTCGATCATCCCACCATACTACTCGAGTCACCAAAAGAAGAAATTCTTCAGTGACCTAAAACACTACTTTTGGGATGATCCAATTCTTTATAGAAGGGGTCCAGATCAAATCATACGCCGTTGTGTACCAGAGGTAGAGCAGCATCAAGTGTTAGATTCATGTCACTCTGCACCATATGGGGGCCACTTCGCAGCAACCAAGATAGCAGCAAAGGTACTACAATTGGGTTTCAATTGGCCTACGTTGTTTAAGGACGCACATTATATGGTGAAACATTGTGACAAGTGTCAAAGGACTGAAAATATCTCAAGAAAGAACGAGATGCCTTTAAACAAATTTTGGAAGTTGAAATTTTCGACGTTTGGGGTATTGACTTCATGGGACCATTCCCTCCCTCCTACGGTTAACAATACATACTAGTGGCAGTAGACTACGTGTCTAAGTGGGTTGAAGCTGTAGCTTTGACAACTAACGACGGGCGAGTGGTAACTCAGTTCATGAAGAAGAACATTTTCACTCGATACGGCACTCCCAGGGCAATCATTAGTGATGGTGGAAAGCATTTCTGTAATCAATTATTTGCATCGCTGTTGGAAAAATATGGAGTAAAACACCGTGTCTCGACTCCGTACCATCCTCAGACTAGCGGGCAAGTGGAAATCTCCAATAGGGAGTTAAAGAAGATTCTCAAAGCTACAGTCAATGCTTTCCACAAGGATTGAGCTAAGAAACTAGACGATGCACTTTGGGCTTATAGAACAACGTTTAAGACTCCAATTGGCATGTCTCCATATCGACTGGTGTTTGGAAAGGCCTGTCATCTGCCCGTTGAGTTAGAGCATAAGGCATATTGGGCAACTTATTTGCTCAATTTCAATATGAGGGCGGCAGGAGAAAAGAGGGTTCTACAACTCCATGAGTTAGAGGAATTTCGTTTGGATTCATATGAGAATGCAAAGATTTACAAGGAGAAAACCAAGAGATGGCATGATATACATATAAGAGAGAAGGATTTTGAAGTAGGCCAGCAAGTATTGATGTTCAACTCACGTCTCAAACTCTTTCCTAGAAAGCTAAAGTCTAGGCGGTCAGGTCCTTTCACAGTAGTAGCCATGCTTCCACATGGTGCTGTAGTGGTAGTATCTTAGGATGAACAGAGAATGTTTAAAATGAATGGACAACGGTTGAAAGCCTATTGGGGAGGTGACTATTCCAATGAGAAGATGACCGTACCTCTTAATAGTGCAGAGTAGCCTGAGCAACAAAGTCGAGCTATAGACTATAAAAATAGCGCTTATTGGGAGGCAACCTAATTCTCTTCACTTTTATTTATTCCGTTTTGTTGCATTAGATTAGGATTTTTATATGTTTTCTTTATTGTTTGGTGTGTTAGATAGATTAGTTGTCATCCATTCATTGCTTAGTTGTTGAGTCAATGCACAGGTCACACAATTTCATATTTGTTTTACACAAGTTTAGGGGAGTTCAATCACTCCAGACATGCAATTGGAGGGCATCACAAATATCTAGTTAAAAAAAATGAGATGTTACAGTCATCGAGGCTGAAATGTGTAATTTTGGGTACAAGAATGACTTATTTATAATCTATTGATTCCCACATCAATTGCATATTTTTCGATCATAGTGGTAAAGGTATTAGTTTGGGAGTGGAACACGAGTGGTCGGGGTCGGTTTAAACCAAAATGAACCTTTCGAGATTGGCGTTGAACTTCTATGTCATAATCGTTTTGCATATTTCTAAACTATATTATGTCTAGAATTCAATCGGGGGTGGGTATGGAGAGTCAGTTATTAAAAAAAAAAAGTTTAACCATGCGTACGCACCGGCTTGCAGGCCGTGCGTACGCACGGTTGGCAGATTGGCAACCCCAGGCCAATCTGCTTGGGCTGTGCGTACGCACGGCCCAAGCTATGCGTACGCACAGTCGGGTCGGGTGAGGGTTTAAATCCCTCACCCAAGCACATAGTCCCCACACATTCCCCCCTTCCCCAAACACGCAACATTCATCTTCTCTTCCATAACCATCGCCTTTTTCTTCCAATCCCCTCCCCTATCTCTTGGGTATTACAAAATTAGCACATTAAAACACTTTGCATATCAAAGTCCTCGAGTCAACTTCTCTACTTGCCAAACAACTCGAAGGTAATGTGTTTCTTTGCGAACTCTTTGGCTACAATTTTTTGTTCATTAACATACAATTTGATGATTTTTTTTTTTATTGTGGAGGTTGGGCTTAGGTAGATGGTGGATTTTGTTTAATTTGATGTTAACATTGGTAGATTCATAACAAAATAGGCATTTGGACATTCTTTCTACAGCATTGCCCACAATGTGTTCGTTTAATTGTCCCAAATACTCATTGGTCTACATTTTAGCTTTGAATTTTTGCACAACACTTGGGCTTTCCTCAATTTCACGACAACTTATACTTGCTCGCATCCACTCTATTATATAACTTGAAATTGGAGAGAAACTACACGTTGTACTTTCCACCCTTTCCACCGCCCTTCTGTGTTCTTCCCCACACATAGCACTACACTTTGCTCTTTGTTTGGTACTCATGGTATTCTCTTGATAACAATTACTTAATTGCTTATTTTGTGCCTTTTGCAGGAATGCCTCCCAAATGCACATGCGACGCTCCATCCACTTCAAAGGGGAAAGGCAAAGCCTCTTCTTCGTCCAACCTGGGCCACTTTCGAGTTGATGAAGGTAGCGTGTGAAGATTCCTAAGCCCCTAGCATAAGCTTCGATTTGAGCAAATAGTCACCAAATGGACTGTTTTACCCGAGCGGGAAGTGGTTTTGGAAGATTTTCCGGGGTTTGAAATTGAGACATTAATCCATCGTACGGGCTGGGAAAAGGTGATAGCTAAACCATTTGCTATTTATCCTACACTTGTTCAAGAGTTCTACACAAATTTCAATTTCTCCATCGACGAGCCTGGGAGCGATCACCAGCACTGAACCTGGGTGCGGGATAAATGGTTTATGTTTACACCTGAGGTCATTGATGAATATGTTGAATTGAATCGAGAAGGAATCATCCCGATACCACCAGAGCAGAATTGGTGTTAGCACATGTTTTGTATGGAAGAGCAGATGCCTGGCCGCTCCATCGATCGAATTTCTTATACAATAATTTAATTGAGTCCCTCATGGTACTCATGATGTTTGTTTGCCACAATGTTGATCCCTCCAAGCATCGTTACAAGTTCGATCACACTAAATCTGCTTTGCTCTACCATCTAACTAGAGGACTCAAATTTGACTTGGGCACTCACATCTATGATCTGATTTGTGCCCGTGCTGCTGAAGTAGACCTACGACACACACTCATATTTCCAAACCTTATCTATGGAATATGTAGGGCTTACGGAGTGCAGCTCCTACCAGCTGAGCAAGCAATACATCCTACTGTCCCAATCAACATTCTCTACGCCCAAAACTCTTGGAGAAAAGTCAATCAGTACAAACAAGGATGACAAGATAACTAGGATGAGGCAGGCCATGAGGATGAAGTTGACATCCAGCCAGACCCGCAACATGAGCTACTAGCTAATACCCCCGTACTACGATAGATGTTTGCGACGATGACCGAGCTGAGTAGGGATGTTCAACAGTTGCAGCAATCATTTACCGCCCTGGATTTACGGGTACAAGATATGCAAACTGACATTGGGATTGTACGAGCCAGCGTGAGCAGGACTCAAGAAGATGTCTTTGATTTACGTCGAAGTACTGATAGGCTAATTGGGTGGTTGGACCGTTATACTGGAATGATGGATGGCAAGCAATTTCGAGCTGATTAGACATACGACATGGTCCGTAATATGCAAATCAAGATGGGCCAGCAATCTGCTTTGATGAGGGAGATTCTTTCCCGTCTACCTCCACTGCCACCTTCCGATTGACCATGGGAGTCTTAGTTCCTTTCGCACCCTCCTTTTTGCATTTTATCCTTATTGTGGTACATTGAGGACAACGCACCGATTAAGTTTGTGGGTGATTGAATCTTTTATCTTCACGTTTACTTCTTTTCGCATGATTTCGCATGATTGGTATGTTTTATCTTTATTAAAAAAAAATTTAACTTTTGTGTGTTGTTTTTAACTTTTGTGTGCTTGTATGGTTTGGATGGCCTTGCTGGCAATGATACATATATTGGAACTGTGTAATTAATTAAGAACCATGGTTGAAAGGATTGCTGCGTGGTACCCCCGGACCGAAGTATGCCGTGCCAGCGTACAACATCGTAGCGTAGAAGAGAAATCGCCTAACGGAGTAAGCAGTGTGGAGGACGTTCTGTGTCTATCCAACTCGCTCTTGTCCAGTAATGTACCGCTTTTCAGATGCAAATAGATCTCTCTACTAGAAAACCGAAGGAGCACACAAAGGAGAAGGGACTCACCAAGCAACAACTACGTTGTTTGTGTAAGCGGAATCGAGTTTCAAATCATAAGATGATGAAGTGACTGCACCAACGAATCAAGCTGAACACATGTTTGATCCACTCTACGAAATGAAAGCGAGATCTTGCAAAACAACCACGCAACGCCCGGATCTGCAATAATGGCTATGTAGGTAAGGGGATCAGCGCTATGATCGCTTTGAGTTCTGCTCGAAGTGTGTATGCTTACGTACGAGTTGCTATTCAGCCCTAGATCGGGTTCTGGGTTCTTCCCTCGAACTCCGCGAAGGTATTTCGTAATGTAAAGCTAATATAAAATAGATTAAGGATCAGGTCGGAGGGTGGGTGTAGCGAAATAAAGCAGTTGCACCATATATATATATATATATTATAATTTGGGAATGAGCAGGTGCATGAAACAGAACACACACCAAGTGCCAAGATTAAGCCTCGAACAACTATTTTGGGGACTTATACCTTTGACAATGAGTCATTAGCTCAATCGAGTCTTAGAAGCCGAAGTAATAAAAAATATGGGAGAATCCTTATGAGTCGAGATGTGAATCTATATTAGTTAAGATCTATCCAAATGAGAGAGGGTAAGGATTAGAATTAGCTAAAAATCAACCTTAGTGCATACCTCGGGAAAAGTGAGCAAAAATCATGAGTTTGGGGGTGTGTATCTTACGAGCGAGGAAAGGAAATAATTGACTACTGCAGGTTAGGAATCAAACCAGTTATTAGTATTGTGATGTTTACATGAATATTCACACACACACTATAAGTTTCACATTGAATAAGGGGAAATTAATTTCAAATATGTAATTTGGACACTTTTCAAAGTAATGACACAATTATCCAATCCTGAGACTAATAGCATACCATCTAACCAAAGTTTAATTGGATCGGGCTATAAATTGTTTGAGGACAAACAAATGTTCAAGTTTGGGGGTGTTTGATAAGTGTATTTTATACACTTATTTAGGCCATTAAAATTGAGTATTTGTTAAAGAATTTGATGGAATATGGTTTAATCCTATTTATATATTGTGTGTAGGTTACAATCAATGGAAGATACGAGAATAAAGAAAATAAGCAGGAAAAACGACTCAATTACATCAAGGCAAAGTTTGGGGACTAGAATGCAATAATCCAAAAGTTGAATGGGACCAAAGAACAATGAGTTGAGAACACCAAGAGTCAATTGGAGTTGAAGAAAAGCTAATGGGACAAGAAATTTTGGGAAAGAACCAAAACACACACTTCAGAAAGTTTAGGGACCAAATTGTAAATTGGCCCCCTAAAATAGTTGAACTGTGCGTACGCACGATTGAAAAAAATCCAAAAGTTGAATGGGACCAAAGAACAATGAGTTGAGAACACCAAGAGTCAATTGGAGTTGAAGAAAAGCTAATGGGACAAGAAATTTTGGGAAAGAACCAAAACACACACTTCAGAAAGTTTAGGGACCAAATTGTAAATTGGCCCCTAAAATAGTCGAACTGTGCGTACGCACGATTGAAAATTTTAACTTCCAAAGCTAAATTGATGCTACCATGCGTACGCACAAAAATGTACCATGTGTATGCATGGTTTAATTCCGACAAAAAAATTATGTTTTCTTATTTTATTTTGGAAAGTCTTTGTTTACAATTTTTTACACGATATTTATACCAAAAGTCGACAAAAACACGGGGAACCTAATTTTTATGAGAT